CTTGATCTTATGTGTATTCGAACAAGCCATTTTTACCTAAGCACCCAACCTAATCACCTAATTCGAATACTTTTATTTCTGTGGCTACCTTGAAATACATACAATTCAATCCCCATGCCATAGTTGAATACTTCTCCTTCAATGCTCATTAAATTCTCCACTTGCATCGAATCAGTTGGATACTCAACGAGTGGTATCCCACTAAATAAGATTTCATGGAACGAGTTTTTGAATTCTTGCAATAAAGAAATATCCAAACTAGGGAGGAGTTTGTTAGTTCTCCCTAAAGCCCTCTCAATCTCACTATTTTTTTTACATAGAAACTCAATTTTGATTTTTCTCCCCTCTCAATAGACTCTATTTCCTCTCTCTTGTGGATCTGCTCCATTTTCCTCACAATTAGCTACCTCACCATCTTCTCTCCTAATCTCTTTTCATCTTTCTTTGTTTTTCTTTTCTTCCCACCTTTCAATCTTAATTGGTCCTCATAGACCTATTGTGGTGTTAATGGTACAAGAGTAACATCTCTCCCATATTTTACAAAGTTGTACCTTTTCTTGAATCCATCATGTTTCACCTTCCTATCATACTACCATGGTCTTCCCAACAAAATATACCCCACATGCATGGGAATTATATCACACATCACTTCATTACTATACCTCCCAATTGAGAAATTCACCAAAACTTGCTTGCATACCTTAACCTCTCCACATTCATCTAACCACTACAATTTATAAGGCTTAGGATGTTTTATCATAGTCAATCATAATTTCTCAACAAATGTAGTACTAGCAATATTTGTACAACTACTCCCATCAATAATCAAACTACATACCTTATTTTTGATGTGGCATCTAGTATGAAAGATGTTCTCCCATTGCTGTTTCACATCATCCAATTTAATTTGTGTATTGAGAGCACGCATCATCACTAATAACTCACCTCATAACGGGTACCCTAATTTATCACTTTCACTAGCATTCTTTACATTACTTTCACTCACCACTTCTCCATTGTCTCGCAAAATCATCGCGCTTTTGTTTGGACATTAAGAAGCAATGTGCCCCGATCCTAAACACCTAAAGCATTTGATATCCCGATTCTTAGAAGGTTGGAAATCAGTTTTGGGTGTAATTTTGGTAGCAACTTCCTCCTTTCCCTTTTGGTGGCTCGGTCTTACTACTCAAAACAGCCCCATCTCTATTATCATCCAACTACAATTTCCAAGAAAAGTTAGAACCCGAAGAACTTGATGGATATCTAGTTGCTCACTTCCTCTTCAGCTGCCTATCCATCTTCATAGCTACATGTATCATGTCTTCCAACTCCACATAATATTAAAACTCTACCACATTAGCTATCTTCCTATTATAACCATTCAAAAATTGGGCCATGGTGACCTCTCTATCCTTCTCAACATTCACTCCAATCATAGGAATTTCCATCTTCTTATGATAATCCTCCACATTCCAAGAACCTTGGTAGATGCTTCACAATTTTTGATAAAAATCCCTATAATAATGGTTAGGCATGAACATCTTCCTCATGATAGCTTTCAATTTTTTCCATGTATTAATAGGTCTCTCACGGTTCCTTCTTCTAGATGTTACTACTTGATTCCATCAAATGATAGCATAATCAATAAATTCAAGTACCGCAATCTTTATCTTATTTTCTTCCGAGTAGTTGTTGCAATAAAATATGAACTCCATTTTCTTTTCCCACTCCAAGTATGTCTCGGGGACTCCTCCTTTGAATGAATGAATTGTCATTTTGATATTTTCCATACTTCTATGAACACTATCTCCAACTGGATCTCTGCCCCTCCTTTTATGCATAAGTCCTATATCCATCATTCTTTCTAATTCGACATTTCTCAATGCATCTTCACTAATGTCACTATCTGCTTTACATTCACCAGCAAAATTAGCTTTATGATCCCGCCTACCTTACCTCATTGTGTTAAGAACTTCTCTATGTTGTTCCCTATGCAAAATAGCAACCAATGTGTCTTACCTCTCCATCAACGTCTCTTACCTATCCATTCTATCTCCCATATCACTAAACAACCTTTCAAATCGTCGTATTACCTCCTCCGTCACGATGACTTGACTATTCTTCCCACTTGAAATAGAATCGTATCTGTCAGACATCCTAAATTTAGTTTAATATTTGTCTCACGTGTGTATACTCGTGTATCACTTAATTTGACTTTTCCCCTCTAATAGTCTCACCACTCTACGTTTTTGCACTTAATGCTTTCTTGCATATGCTTCAAAAAATTGATTCGGACTGGACACTTTTTTTTTATTTTAATTGAAAAAGAATTGATCTGAGGACTAATGTAGCGCAAAAAATGACTTTTAATTTTTTTGGTACTTTAATTGGATTGAATGACTCAAAGATCAAGAACACGAAGAAAAGGACTCAAACAAAAACAAACAAGGAATTAAATGTTATAACCTTAATTTTTGGAGCCAAGCTCTGATACAAACTGATGCTCCACGTAGTAATTGAAGCTATGAAACCCACAACAAATTAGACCAAACCCAAGAAAGTCAAGAATCAAAGTTTGAAACTTCGACCCAATAAATTAATGAATCGAAGAACCAATACAATCGCTAATAATATCTTGACCCTTGATCACAAAACTTATGAAATTACTTAATTTGATGAACACCACAAGAATTTAATTTTTGATAAGCTTAGAATTAATTAAATGAAGAACAAGAAGAAAGCAATAAGCCTGGCAATGATATCCCTCAAATTGGGTCTCTACAATGAATATAATAACCCTGTTTATATCAAATCCCTAAAACCCTAGTAAAAATGGAATTAAACTCTAAAAATAACAATAGATACCACAAAATAGAGTTTTAACTAAAATACAAGATTGCATGAAATTTGAAAAATTCGTGGCCGAAAATATATTATGTGGCCGCATAGTTTAAATATATGCGGTCGCATAGATCATCTGAAATTTTCTTCCGTGACCTCGGTAAAGGGACATACAGAACAACTATGTGGTCACATAATTGTTTTGCTCAGCTTCTCCAACTTCTCCGTCTATTACTTGAATCAAGTTGCTCCACTTCAGTTCATCTCCCATGCCAATTGTCCATTTGTTTGTCGTAATCAATGTTTCGTCCACCGTGGCTTGAGCAAGAGTCTCGTCGCTTCTTTGTCCCGCTTCGCTCATGACTTAGTCTTAGGCCCTTTCTATACGATCAATAGATCCTTGCCTAGACTTGTCCTCATATCATGGATCACATCACAACCAACCACACCCATTAATCTTTTACCCATTCTCCCAAGTTCACAATCTCATCCACACCACCACAATTGTCGCCCATCACTACTGTCCACCGTCGACACTGCGTCGCTATCGATGCATCGTCATCAACACCAAGTAAGCATCACTAGGCGATGTCGTTACAACAGCGTCCCAACATTGTCGTTGCAACAACAACAACGCTCTTGTTGCAGCAACACTGTCTACTATGTGCCTAAGATAGCACACCACCTGGTGCCTATATAGATAAATGAGAAAAATTAGGGTTTGGGGACAATTTGTGAAATTCCATGACCATGCTTACAATTTCAAATCATGGGTGAATTTACAAATGGTGATTGCTGCCATTATTATTAGTGGAGAAGGAAGAGGATGAATGGTGGTGGCGACAACAATGGTGGTAGAGTATAATGAAAAGTCGTTTGTAATCAATTGTTTTAGTGATTGTGACCAATAAAATGGATAATTTGTTATCAATAAATATGCTACAAATAAAATGGATAATTTAGCACTAATAAATAATATGTAACCTAAAAAAATGTATGATTGTTACTGAATTTGTAATGATGATTCATAATTTGTGTCTATCACTATGTAATACAATTTGTAAGTGTGATCATAATTGTGTGTTACTGTGACGTTGAGCTGTTACTAGGTTATCAAAAATGTGACCACTTAATTTTTGAGACTACAAGTTTTTATTTTTGAAAATGTAGTTTGAAACCTTTGTAATTATATATTTTTCCCTAAATTGATTGTTATTAAGCCCTTGGTCCTCATTTCCTATTTTATCAGTTTTTATTAAAATTTGATTTTTAACTAAATCAAAGATGGCTAAGTATTTGACCACATGCTAATAAATTATTTTTGTATTTTTGTAATTTGCTTATACAGCTAAAAAAGAAAAAGCCAAATTATTATTAGGTGAAAAAAGTTGATCAAGATTAAAGAGAGTGCGTGAGAGAATATAAAAAGCTAAGGCATGGAGGCGAGGCTCCCATATAATGATGGAAAAGGTGAGAAAGAACAAATCTACAGTTACAAAAAAACTAAAGGCAGAGAGAGGAATGTTATTTCTCAGTGTAGAAAAGAGGCTAATCTGATATTTCAAGGTCAGCCTCTTCAATTATCATTTTATCAGGTTGGTTTTGCCACTTTACTAACGTATAAAATGTCATAATCATGTCGAAATTCTAGCAATAATTTCGTTGAATTTTATGCAGATTGGATCTCATTTTGTTTCTGTGTTCACACTGTTAACACCAAATCTGATATTTCAAGGTGAATCGGCTCTTCAAAATGAGTTTCGGATTTGGTTTGTTCTCTCTCCCGTTGAATTTCTCCTGCTCCTGTTTTAGTGTATTTTTCCATTTACTTGCAAATATGGGGTGTTTAATTTTTTTTTTTCCCCTTTGTTATTATACTGGCATTTAGCATATTATTGATTTTGATTTTGTGATTTGGTGTGGGTTTTAATGGGCCTATGGATCTTCAATTCAATATTTTGCTCTTGTTGACTTTCACCTGGTGGGTGTGAGTTTATGATTTATTTAGGACTTAAATTTTCCATCCCTTTTCTGAATTAATTAGTGCTTAAACTTTAATGTGTTTATGTAGGTGAATAAACAAGAGTACGATGGGCATAGCTGGTTAATCAGAGACTTAATGTCTTGATTGGTATGTTTTGTGAACATAAGAATACAATATGACATCTCAGAGATTTTCCGAAGATGAACATATTCATCGGGATTTAGAGTCTTTGAGTGTGTCAAAACGTCTTGTCAGAAGTGTGAGCCAGAAACTAAAAAGAAAGAACAATAGAAATGAGGGTGATGAAGAGGATGAGAGGTGGGGTGTGTCCCTTCGATGTCTTACTCTTTACAGCAGAGGTGCAGGTTGCAAAGTAGTTGCTGACACTGGTGAAGAATATGGGGATCCTGGCAGTAGAAGGCGCTCTAGTGCGAGTGAGGATGGGAAAGGGTACCCTCCAATATGTGGAAATGAAGAAGCAACTGTGGATTGCTTTTCCTATGGGATGAAAGAGAAATTCTGGAGGAGGAATAACCGAAGGCTTCTAACATTTGACGAAGCACAACAAAACAATAGCATGAATTCATGTCTTCCGGATGACATTCTGGAAATGTGCTTGGTGAGGCTCCCACTGACGAGTCTTGCAAATGCTCGTCTTGTCTGCAAGAAATGGAGAAACTTGACTACAACGTCTCGTTTCATGCAGATAAGAAGGGAAGGCTTATTTCAAAGTCCATGGTTGTTTCTCTTTGGTGTTGTTAAGGATGGCTGTTGTTCTGGGGAAATACATGCATTGGATGTTTCACTTGCCCAATGGCATAAAATTGAATCTCAAATTCTCCGTGGAAGGTTTCTTTTCTCTGTTGCTAGCATCTGGGATGATGTTTTTATAGTTGGAGGTTGTTCTAGTTTGACCAACTTCGGAAGGGTGGATAAAAGCTCATTCAAGACGCACAAAGGAGTTTTAGTTTTTAGCCCCTTGACTAAATCTTGGCGTAAAGCTGCATCCATGAAGTATGCCAGATCATCACCCATTTTAGGTATTTCTGAGGTCAGTAAAGATTGTTTTATCAGTAGAAATCAAGCAAATCTGTCGGATAGACGCTTTTACAAGTCAAGGATTGGTGGTGTATCAGATGTTTACGAGGATCCTCACAGACTTTCAGTCAGACGACAATCTACACAATCTCTCGATGAAAGTGATATTTCATCGTTTTCCAGCATAAAGCCGTCCAAATTTGTTGCGCAAAAAACTGAAAATTCCCGAATCAAAAATCGTAGAAAGTTTGTAATGATTGCTGTGGGAGGTCTTGGATCTTGGGATGAACCATTAGACTCGGGGGAAATTTATGATTCTGTGTCAAATAAATGGACAGAGATACAGAGACCACCTCTAGAATTTGGAGTAGCTTGTTCTGGCGTTATATTTAATGGGATTTTCTACGTTTACTCAGAAAGTGATAAGGTTGCTGGATATGACATAGAAAGGGGATATTGGGTTAGAATTCAAACCACTCCATGCCCACCCCGTGTGCACGAGTACTATCCGAAACTAGTATTGTGCAATGATCAGTTGTTCATGCTTTCTGTCTCCTGGTGCGAGGGAGATGGCCAAATTGGGAGGAGAAATAAAGCAGTAAGGAAAGCTTGGGCGCTCCATCCCTTGTACCTTACTTGGACAGAAGTGTCTATACATCCCGATGCACCAATGGACTGGAATGCTGCTTTTGTTTCTGATAAAAACCTAATATTTGGTGTCGAAATGTTCAAAATATTTGGACAAGTTTTGGACTTTGTGACTATGTGTGATGTGTCTGACGCGGGAATAAATTGGAATCACATATCGAGGAATCATGTGGCACAAGATCTTGATGCTTCTTCGTGTATGACAAAGTCATTGGCAGTGCTACATTTGTAACCAAGCTAGACCAGCATTTACCATAATACAAGTTTATCTTTCTTTTCATTTTCTCATTATTGTATCATGTACCATGCCATTCATGATACACCTTCTCGTTCGATTTTTTCAATCAGATTGACGTCGGGTTGCCTTTGATTTTCTAATTTATTCTTGCCTTTTGGAAATTTTGGGATCTAACATAATTTATTTACAAGGATAGAAGCGAATTACTCCCTTCGTCTCAATTATATAGGCTTGTTTCGTTTTTCACACGGATTAAGAAAGTTTCTTTAATATCATTGGAAAATTAATTTTTGTCAAGATCTTTCCTAATTTACCCCTATTTAATTTTCAGTATGTAAAACTAAAGGGATGTGCTACAAGTATATCGGGGTCTACATAAGGGTGTCCATAATGGACAGGGTCGACACTTCATCCAATGGGGAGGTGTCGGGTGTTCATTATGGATACCCTTATGTATCCCCTAATCTACAAGTAACATTTTCCAAAACTAAATTATTGTTTGAACTAATAAAGAATTTGAAGAAGAAGAAATTAGAGTTGTTTCATGTTTCCAAGAAGTGTGAAATGTGTGTATTTGGATGATTTCAAAAAGTTGACATATTAAGTGGGGAAAATTTAATAAGGGTATATTGATAAAGGAATACAACAAAATATTCTACATTAAAAAACACGCCTATATATTTGGGACAAGAGAAAAATGAAATTCAGCCTATATAATTGGGAAGGATGGAGTACTACTTATGCTTATGTTCTTTTGCATCCATTGGCCTTGGTGTTTACTTATTGGAGACTAGTAAATTAAAATACAGTGGAGTGGACTGATCCATTCAAGGTGAAGGAAATGGAAAATTTAAAATTTTTGTGTTACATTAAGTGGAAGCGAAAGAAACTACGTAGTGAGGACTATCAGTAGTTGCCCTACGTGGTATACATATGACAGTTTGTTATTTGATACTTTAGACAATAAAAAACTACCATGTTAATGCATCAAATAATAACGGTCACATGTCACATGTATGTTACTTAAGGGGACTATAGGTAGTACTCACTATGAATAGCATTATTCTTAATATTATTTTTAGGTAGGAATCCTCTGTTCGATGTGATAGAAACAAAAAATGTCTCACTTTTTATTAACTTTAAAATAAAATACTGATATACGTTCACTGCTCAGTTGAAACAATGGAGGATCAGTTTTCTATTGCCCCTTATTTGGTATTGAAACTAGTTACAGGTTTTACTCAATCCGATTGGTCCAATATTGTCTTGTATTGAGTAGCTAGCAGGTCAGGAATTATGAGTGACATGCTATGTGAAGTTGGTTAAAGGGAATGTTTTCCTTTCTACAAGTGTTAGTTTTGCTATTTGTTGATAACTTGTTTGGCTAATCTCAAAGTAAAATTTACTTATAGTTAAAAGTTCGTTCTAAAATGAAATTACTTTTGGGTTAATTTCACAAACAGTTACTGAAGTTATCTGAAAATTACAAAACGGTCATTGAAGTTTAAAACTTGCAAAAACGGTAACTGAATTTTCAGATTTTTTGGGCAAGTTTTGAGGCGATTTTCCGAAAACTTCCGACCACCAAGACCGTCGAATTTGGATACCGTTGGAAATCCCACAATGTCCTCTTCAATTACCACCAAAAATCTCCCCATAACTCCAAGGGATTCGGTCGAAATATACCCACGAAGTCGGCTACCGAAAAATCTGAAAATCTGCAGATTTTTTGGGCGAGTTTGCGGCAATTTTCGGCAACTTCCGATCACCAATACCGCCGGTTTCGGATACCATTGGAAAACCCACAATGTCCACTTCAATTACCACCAAAAATCTCCCCATAACTCCAAGGGATTTGGCTGGAATAAACCTACGAAGTCAGCTACCAAAAAAATCTGAAAATCTGTCCAGTTTGGGTAGCTGACTTCGTGGGTTTATTCCGGCCGAATGCGTTAGAATTATGGGGAGATTTTTCGTGGTAATTGAAGATGGCATTGTGGGCTTTCCAATGGTATTCAAAACATGCGGTATTGGTGGTCCGAAGTTGCTGGAAAATTGCCTCAAACTCGTCCAAAACATCTAAAAATCTGGACAGATTTTTAGATTTTTCGGTAGCCGATTTCGTGGGTATATTTCGGCCAAATCCCCTGGAGTTATGGAGAGATTTTTGGTGGTCCAGATTTTTAGATTTTTCGGTAGCCGATTTCGTGGGTATATTTCGGCCGAATCCCTTGGAGTTATGGAGAGATTTTTGGTGGTAATTGAAGAGGGTATTGTGGGCTTTCCAATGGTATCCAAATCTGGCGGTCTTGGTGGTCGAAAGTTGCCGGAAAATCGCCGCAAAACTTGCCCAAAAAATCAGAAAATTCAGTGATCGTTTGTAAAAAAATTTAAACTTCAGTGACCGTTTCTACAAGTTTTAAACTTCAGTTTGTGATTTTCGGGTAATTTCAGTAACCGTTTGTGAAATTAACCCAATTACTTTTTTATTGGTGAAATTTAAAAATAAACAAGTTATTAGGTTTAACACTGAAAGAAATAACCATTTTTTTTTTCACTTAATTAGTTTAGGCCCTGTTTGAGCCAAATTATTGTACAATGAGAATGAAAAATATAGCCGTTATTGGGGGCCCACATAAGAGATAGAAAATTTGAATTTAAATGTTGATGTCATGGATAACGATCATATTTTTCATTTTAATAAGATAATAATGTAGATCAAACGGGGGCTTAGTGTCTTTACACTGATAGTTACATATAAATTTCTGTAGGTATAATAATTTCTTCACCATCTTTTCCCAGTAATTACCATGAATGTATTTGATGAATAAAGAATTGTAACAGGCAAGAAGGCAATGTCTAGTTTTTGTACCAGTCAACCATCTTATGATTTTTAGGTCGGTTAACAAGAATCCATTTTTTTTGTTTATTCAAGGAGTCCATAAATTCTTTACCGTTAATAGCTTCTTAAAAGGTAGTAGGTTCAGAATTGAGAGTTTAATGCAGAGAAAAGGGTCACAAAATCATTAATGCTGATTATCGTAGAAGGGAATCTGTTTCTTGTACTTCTATCGTAAGTCAACTAATAATCAGCTAGATTAGGAATTTGAGATTGGTTTTCATTTTCAATATCACTTTGAACCTTGTGAAAAATATTATAAATTGTATATAATAAAAGTGTTTCTATTACAAAGTAAAAGACTATATATGGCTATAAATAACTCAAAAAGGAAAGATTGCATAATAATTATACAATCAATTATTAAGGAAAATAATCCTACATTATTGGAAAAATATCATAGAGATTATTTTTTCCATAGTTTAGGCTGTTTTGTGGGATTTCTTCCACATGCAGCATCTAGAGTTTTGGCCAGTGTTTTGGCGTTAGAGCTTTTGTTGGAACATGAATTATGTGTACGACTAAGTTCTCTCGACAAATAGAGCTCACTGTGCGTGTCGGCACATTTCCTGAATTTCTTTTGGAAATTCTTCTTGGGGAGTGTAAGTTCCGTAGTATCTTTGGAGTGTTCTTGGAGTGACTTTGGAGTAGTTCTTTGTTGTTTCTGCATTATTTATTGTTCTTCGTCTCTCGTCGTCACTAATTTTTGTAGTTGTTTGCTTTGATTTGAATTTCTTCTTAGTGGACATAGATATTGTCACTGTCGCTAGTTCATGATTGCAAATTAATGTTTATGCCAGCATCAATTTGAGGAGGGATGCCAATGAAATTGAATAAGATTACAGAGATCGTCGAAAATTGAATAAGATTCCGGAGGTTCTCAAAGATTACGACTATTATAGATAGATTGTTTTTATCATTAATTAGTATTGTAATTGATTGCTACAATATTTAGTTGTTATTTTGGTTTCTATATAATAAGAGAATCTCTCACATAGAGGGACAAAAAAAATATCATGGAAATTATTCTTTTCATATCTTCAACAAACCTGATCTGTTTCAGATGAGAATTCTCCACCTCAATCTGATCATTAGACTCAATAGGACCAATATTTGGATTTTCCAAAACGGTTTCCTTAACTAATGGCGTTTCACCAGATTTCAATTTAGAAGAAACAGCACTGGGCATATTGAAAGTTACACATTTCGATCCTAACAATACCTAAAAGGGGGTGAATATGTATATTATGCGGAATTAAAAATATTTTACGAATTAAGCAGCTACAAGTCACTTTTTAATTCTACTCTAGATGATTAAACATGCAAATCATTTTAGTCCTAAGTCTGAATACCGTAATTTATGTAATCAATCAATAAACAATAACGAAAGCAGTAAATCAACAATAGAATGATCACGGACAAATCCAACAGGGAAAAACTTCGGGCACTTTGCCAGTCAACAATCCACTATAAACGATATGTAACTTGTAGTCTACCAGCCCAGACGACGACACGTACTATCTGATCTTCTGACTGTAATTCCAACAGCTTTCCTGGATTCTGTACTCATGCACTACTCCTAGCTGCAGTTTTCAAAGCTCTCTTGGATTCTGCTCTTCTACAGCAACTCTTAGCTTTATGAAATCGTTTATCTCATGTAGATCCACGAAGAACACCGCGTTCTTCACAGACTGGAACGTCATTCAAACTTTCTCAATCTTCAAAACTCTGACCAGATGTAGAAGAAATGCGGTTTGGTATTTGGATTATAGCAACAATGTTTTTCTCACCAAAACAATCAAAGCAGATGAAGGTTGAAATAAGGAATTGAATGAATCTCTCACATATGTAGATCTCTTAATGTTCAACCTTATCAATTTTGTACAAAAGTGTTTTGGTATATATAGGTAGGTTAGAAAAACGAATGGGCCAGGGAAAAAGCCTTTAAAATGTGAAATAAAAATTTTCCAAATAAACCTGTCGCTCGAGAGATGGCTTAACGACAGTCGAGCCACAGACTATCACTCAAGCGAAGTGGGGGCGGCAGTCTAACAATACTGTTTCTGCTTTTGTAGCTCGAGCCAAACCTTGACGA